GTTTGGAGCCAGGGATCTCAAGACAAAAGAAGCTCTTAAGAGTCATTAGCCCCATCACCTGGGAAGCAGGATATGATAATGGGATTAAACCACAGATATCAAGGCCTAGAAAAACACTCAGAAATAGCCTCAAAGTTCATGCCACAGGAACAGGAAACTACTCCAAGCAGGGCTGGGAGGGGGTATAAAAAGGCCTTCTGCCCATGTGCTCCCTCTCTTTTTCCTCTCTTCTCCTCTGCTGCTTATCTGTCTTCTGCAATAAACTGTAACCTTCCCAAAGCAGTCGCCATGTTTGCTTATTTATTCCCGGCTTGGATGAACCAGGATGAAGACTTACTTCTAACAGTAGCAAAGCGTCAGGGGCTTTCTTGGTATGGTTCTCGGACGTTGCTGTCGTTATTCCTATGAGAAATCATGAAATCATCCCGAGTGTGTGTGTGCGTGGTGGGCTCCTTTTCGCGGGGGGGGGGGGAACTGCTCTCTTGCTAAAATGTGTTCTGAGGCCTGGAATATTTTTGGTGTTTGTAAATGCCCTGAGCTATTTCGACGTGGAGAAAGTAAATGGTAAAAAAAAAAAATAGGAGTGGTTTCTAGCCATTGATTTTTAGCTGCCACCAAAGAGCAGCAGTTTCGGATTTTTGATAAAATTATTTTCCTAGGAGGCAAAGGAAAGGAAGGAGCTCTTGAATGCCCTATTAATTTAATGCATTATTATTTCCGCCAGATATCAAATGCATGCACCTGGCCCATTTCAGCCGCGGTTTGTGGAAACAGAACTTGGTCACCTCCTGTTTGGATCAGTACAGCACACTACACTCTCACTCTTCAGTTGTAACTGGTTCAGAATGCCGTGGCCTGGGCAATTATTGTACCAGTCTTTGCCAAACTGCATGGGCTTCCGCTGCAATCCAAATTGTTGGTTATTATCAGGAAAAACCTGTTGTGGCACAGGGCCATGCTATGCAACTGCCTGCTTCCCATTTGTTCTGCTTGGCGCATAGGACAAAATCAGAATGCTCTAGGTCAGTGGTGGCGAACCTATGGCACGGGTGCCAGAGGTGGCACTCAGAGCCCTCTCTGTGGGCACGCGTGCCATCACCCCAGTCCTAGGCCTTCAGCTGGGTTTTATAAAACCTTTTCGCTTTAGGCCTCCGCCGCCGTGTACCAAAAAATAAAGGTTCAATCAATCAGTCAATTTCAACTTCTTGCAGGGAAAAAAAAGATCTCGCAAAGTTGGAATTGATTGATTGAACTTTTTAGTCCCACCCAGACTGCCGTTACCACCGTAGCCATGCCCACCCGATTGGCCACACCCACCCAATGGGCCACACCCACCCGGCACCCGACGATGCATAAGTGGGTTTTGGGTTGCAGTTTGGGCACTCGGTCTCTAAAAGGTTCGCCATCACTGCTCTAGGTCCCTTCTAGTGCCATCTAGTGGGTCCAGGAAGCATAGCCTCTTTGTCAAAGCACCTGATCTGTGGAACAGTTTCCCCCAGGATTTAGATGACCCTGACCCTGTTATAAGGTTCTTAAGACTTAGTCTAAGACAATGTCTCTCAAACTTGGCCATTTTAAGCTATGTGGACTTCAACTTCCAAAATTCCCCAGCCAGACTGAGTTAGATACTTCTGGGAGCTGAAATCCACACGTCTTAAAAGTTGACTGCACCTGTATTCAACAGTGAAGGGACCCTGGGCAGAAAATATCCTACAGCCTAGAAGGCTCCACACACATTAGTGTTACTTGGGTGACCCTGAGGACACAGGCAAACCTCCAAATGGCCTCAATGACTCTCTAAATCAGGGGTCTTCAAACTTGTGGACTTCAATTTCCAGAATTCCTCAGCCAGTCATGCTGGCTGAGGAATTCTGGGAGTTGAAGTCCACAAGTTATAAAAGGGCCAAGTTTGAAGACCGCTGCTCTAAAAAAATGCAAATGCCCAGCTGTCTGCAAGGAACATAAATCTTTCCATTTCCCATCATCCAGAGCTGAAGAAGCTTCTTGGATGAGAAGCGAGATGTCTTTAAAGAAAAATAAAGTCCAGTTGTCTCCTAAAAAAGTACCTTTGGGACAACCATGAGCTGGATGACTGAGAACCTTGTTTAGCATATTGATTGGTCTCCTTGGTTAACAATTTCTTTTGTCTTTGGTATGCTCTGCTTTTGTTTTGTTATATCAGGTGGTCGTACAAGTTGCAAGAAGTAAACCACAGTGGCTGGATTCATGTATTATGCTAGATGGTAAGCCATACTTTGCAAACCTTAGGGAAGACCTAGGTTCCTGTAATCTGCATTGCAAACACTATTGCTTTGCTCAGTGAGCAAACCCAACTTCACTGATCATCAGACCCGACATAGATAGTTCAACAAAAATATTTTTCATCTCAGAATAACGGAGTTTTAAGACAAACCAAATTTCTAATGAAATCTATTAGACAAGTATGTTTTGATATACAAGCAATGAACTTATCTCGTGAACGCAGTTTAAACAGTCTGTAATTACACCACATGCTAACCCTTAATTTGCTTCATCATGGCTTGCCAAGTAAGCAGAACATATTTTGATGTAGGGGACTGCACAAATCCAGCCAGAGAGTCCAAAGCTCTTAAGGATATTTGCACTTTTAGATACAAAAAAACAGGAGTAACATTTCTCTTGTTCTTGCCCTCTTAGATCAGACTAACTAAATATGTCCTTTGACAAGTGCCCTTTAATATTAGACCAAGACTCGCCAATGTGTGTAGCTCATAATGAGCTTACTTCCTTTTCCAACGATATCTCTTATGACTCAAATCAGATATAATTTTATATGGTTGAGAGTTTTCTTCACTAATTACCATCAAGTCACTTTAGCAAAATATACAGAAAGAAGAAGGATATAAAAGCCCCAATAGTGGTTAAGAATGTGATTCGTAATGTGTTTGTGCAATAAAATACATTAAAAGGAGATGGCTTCATGAAGAGTTTTTCTTATGTAGTAATAGCCTATTGCTGTCCAGATGTGGTTTACTTTTTAAAAATATGCTCTATTTGTTTTCAATAAACAGAACTGGAAACAAAATCTGGTTTTGTTCTAGTAGTTTTAGTAACTGAATAATGTTTAAAAAAATCCAGATAATTGAGTTTTCCTAGCTATGAATCATCGTGCCAGAACAAATTGTTTCAATTTGTTGCCTGATTATCACAGGTCTATTAAAAAATACAACTGCTTAAACTGAAGTAGTAAAAGATCAGCAACATAACCCAGTAGTGTAGAAAAATATCTGTGTGGTTCACAGCTGATTGCAGTACCTGGCTAATTTGGGTGATCTCAAAAAGCTTAGGAGAGTTGGACCAATTAAGTCCTTAAATGGAAGATTACCAACAAATCAACAAAGGTGATATAGGTTAAACTGGGGAGGGGGGAACTCTGCAGAAGATAACTTTGGCAAATTGTTTCTGAATTGTTGCTAAGAAATTATGTTTGTGACCAAAATATTACCAAAATCCGTTTCAGGGAAATTTTGTATAATCTATTTCTCACATTACTCATCATGATAACGTAAGGGTGTGCTCTTCACATTTACAATACTCAGAAGCAAAAAGCAAAAAATGTGTTATAAATGTATTGAAAGGAATAAAGATGGCCTTTCTTCCCACTTCAACCACCGTATGTGATCATTTCCATTTCACTTTATGAGCATAAAAATTGCATTTTTGTAGGAATGGTTTGAATTAATTACGTATCTACTTTATTATAAGACAAAAAGGTTTATTTTGAATTTCTATTGTTCCATTTAGAAGAAAAGTATTGCTCATGTCACATATCTCTGTAAATCAACATTGGGATTTAAGTATGATTATTGCAGAAAGTAAGAAAACCCATCCTTAATGAAAAATAGTATGGGAAAAGATCAAGGAACTTTTTGAACAAGATGTACAACGAGTACATAAACTGCTTCCCTGCGAGTACAACTCTCAGAAATACATCATAATGATTATCTTGTCAAAAAAATTTTGCAATGCCTTTGCCATACAAAGTTATAACAGTAGTTTACTGAATAATGTTAGTCATATAGCCATGCCATAGTTCTGCCAATTAAAACAGAAATACAGGATAATTGCATGGTTTGAAGGCAATAGTCATGTCTAGAATCTTTTTTTATACATGTGATTTAGAGACAATTATATGGATGAGAGAAGGAGATCACTGCATTGCCGTATGCAAGAATGTAAAGAAACTTTTGCCACTCTGCCATTTTCCAAGACCCTTTACTTGGAAATTGCATGTACTAAAACAAATCTTCAAATTTACTCAAGATTAAGCAACAGAACCTTTCTAAGTATCATTTGGATAGTTACTCCAGTATAAGGTGTGCTGATTTTTTCCTGTTCATACCAAATGATATAGCTTTTATTAGAATTAAGGTAAACAAGGAACATATTGTATATAGTGGAGGTAAGATCAAAAAGCATATTGGGTAGATGGAAGAACTAAGATTTGGGGAGCCAGAGAATAGAATACAAAACAATTGTAATGTCATTTTAGCCTATCCATTTAAACTGTGTGGAATGCCATCGGATTACATGAAGTACCAAACATTCACTGAATTCTAAAACTTGAGAGGCAGATTTCTATTAATGCCATTAAAAGCAATAGCATCAAAACATACATTTCTGCACAGAAATGCAGGTGTAGAAGCTAAGCCTCTTATTGCTCAGAGGACAAAGTGGAAAAAAAATACAACAGAATACATCCAAGGTTACTCCTTACAGTTGGGAGAAAGATTCTGTAATTTTTAAATCAAGCAATAACTGCTGCCAAGCCTAATTCTTAAATTAGAGCTATAGGCCAAGGATTCTTTTCTGGATGTTTGCATGGATGCCCCTTAAGCACTAAGTAGCATGGTTAGGCAGCAGGGATTGTCTACATTGAACCTAATTGGCTCTGGCTAATTGTAAAAAGCTAAGCTGTATCACATCTAATATACTCGGATGGGAGATGTCTAAGCAAATCAGAACCCCAGAATGTTGCAAGGACCACACTACTTTTCTATTATTGCTGGAATCAATTCCATAGAAATCTCTAGGCAACTACCAGGAGTCAAGTCCAGCTTACTTGTAGTAGTCCAAAATATCCAGAAGACATTCTGAGAGCTTGTATGGTGTAGCACTTAAGGTGCTAGGCTAGAATGGGAAACCATGTTCTAATCCTCCCTTAAATGTGAAAGCCAGCCAGGAAAGCACAATCAAATCATTCCTTCTCAGTCCAAAACAGCTTCTGATCCTAACAAGCTGGCTAGTAAGAAGAACCCCTCATCACTTCATGGTATGCCAGCTTGGCTTTAAGAACTGCAGTAAGCCCAGTGCAAAAGAAGCAGATCCTGCAACAAAGCAGGATAAAAGAACAGCACACTAATGCTGCCTTCCATTAATAAAGAGGCTTATGACGGCTCATTGTTAATACTTCTCAAACGCTGCGATCAGAAAATGATTCTAATTTTAACTTTGCTAGGGCAGCAATAATACACTCTCGTTGCATCAGAGAATCACTTGGCAATCATTGTTTGGAGGGTGAACCTTCTGTTAACCGGATATTTATACATGACATTCAAATTATGGCACAATTTAATCGATGTCTGAGTTATTTGATTACCTCCCGGGTCACTAATTTGTACTCCAATTAGACAGTCAAGTTTTGCTTAATGCATAGGAGGTACAGTATGTTAGAAAATAATAGAAAGTTGGGTTCTAAAACACTTGTTAATAAGTGGAGCCAGTTGGTTCCTTAGGAACAAAAAAGTCAGTTTTCAAACAAGGAGAGAAATGCTCATTTAGAGGGATATGTGCTGCTTTGCCCAGCAATACCTCTGTAAGCACTTCGTTTTTTTAAAAAGAATTAGTACATTCTTATGTAAAAAGTGGAAACTGCTCACTTAAAAAAAATGCTTCTTTTCATGCTTGGTTTGACTCACCTCCCTAGAAAACATTAAGCTTATGAACAGCAGGATAAAGATACATGTCTTTATGCAGAACTAATGGATAATACTGATCTCAAAATGAGAATTCCACAAGGTACCATTTAGAAACTATCCCATTCTAAAAAATATTTCTGGTATACTGAAAGAGGTAGGTCTGGCTAGTTTGAAGTAGCATCCACAAAGCAGAATATGCAGCTTCTCCAGTCTTTTTAATACCTGGTTTAGATTATCCTGTCATCAGTACACCTATATAACTTCCACTAACTCATGCCTTGAAGAGGCCTCTATCTACCATTTAAGACTCTGTAATGTAGGGAAATCTAATAGGGAATCCTCCAGTGGAATGCTCCAATGCTGGGCCCAATGCACCCGGCAGAGTATTTGCCAGCTAAACATATGCTTAATGTATGCAAATCCCCATTTCCAACCAATAATTTGTATAATCTGGTCCTTAATAAGTTTTAGATAGGCAGGCATCATTTTCTAATAAGGAACATTCTTTCCTTGGATTCTCCAATTGGTCCTCCAAGTAATTAACAGCAGTCACAAAAGCAGTAACTATAACCCTTCCTCTTCAAATGCGGCAAAGTAACTCTTCATGTTAGTCATAATAGGATAGAAAAAGCTGGAAGAAACATGGCACGTGACACTAAGACTCAGTGTAGCCATCAAAGCTTTGCATGTATGTTCTCTGCCTGCAAGGAGAAGGACAGCTTGGTGCAGGACATCTCTTGGTCCCCGTTGCTCAGCACAACTCTCATCTTGTAGTCTCCATTGGTGAGGAAAGAAGGCAAATCCATGTTGGGTATGAAGAATTCAGAGGAAGGAAGGGTGTAGGTACCCTGAAAGAAAGACAAGCCATCCCGTCAGTCTCCATAAGTTGATATATTGCCTCTCCCTGTCTGTCAGAGTACAGTTTGAGTACCAATAAAGCACACCAAGCATATCCTTTAAAACAGGAGCAGAAATGAGGAAGCATTTAGAGGATTGAACTACTGAAATAGCTCTTCAGTGTAATCAATAAAAGATCACTGCAAATTGCTTAAACAAATTTGTGCATTTGAACATGACTCAGTATGGAACATTCCATTGTCTGCTTTTATATTGTTATTCGGTACCTAGAAGCGTTGTGGATAGTCAACACAGGCAAATCTTCTATAGCCCAAGATGCTGGCTAGGTCCTCTGAGAAAAAGGGTATCTACTATGACAAGATAGATTGCTAAAAGCAGATTTGAAAAAAAGAACTTGGAAATTAACACTGGCAAAATAGCGAAATCCAAGAGAATTGGGCTGAAATGGGGTACAATAAAGAGTTTTGGAAAACTTACACAAGGATTGCATGTTGTGATCTGTCCACAGCAAGCTATATGCTTTCACAGAAAATCCAGATTCCTCTTTGAAAGGTGTCCGGTTCTATTGTCAAGTTAACTCCTTTATTTTAATGCATCATTATATTTTAATTGATACGTTTTCTCAGAGATGCACTGCATTATGGGCCACCTGAACGCATTCATTTTGTAATCATAAGACTGAAGTTATATAAATAGTAAAAAACAAACAAACTTAGAGCACATTTGACTACAGCTGAAAATCTTGGCCAGTCTATCATCTATTTCTGGACAGAGCTGCATTAATGGAGGCACACAGCTATTGGTGATACACCAACTTTACAGAGAAAGGAGTGTAAGCAGTTGCTGATACCCAAAGGATTTTGTTGCTGTGTTTCCAAGACAAGAAACAAAAGGAGGAAGAAGGCTCACCGCTTTGAATGGGCAATGACATGGAATGCCGTAACTTTGCAATGGCGGTGGACATGGCTCGCCTGGAGGGATGAGACTGTCCAGCATGGTGCAAGTATCATCATAGGTGCAGCTCCCAAGCTGATCCACACATGGGACTTTTATCCACATATCCCCAAGCTTCTTCTCCAGTATGACAGTTGCCTGGAAATAGATGTGAGCATTAATATTCCGTCTGAAAATTTCTTCCTGTCATTAATACTTAATACTTTCCCAATAGGTTGTTGACAGCAAACTAGTTAAAACAACTTGAGAAATCAGTGATTGCTCAGTCGATTTTCTGAATGTGCATCACTGTTTAGGCTACTTGTTTTGAAGAAATAAAACAATAACTCTGACTCATCTTTAAATGTAGGGGCTGAATCTGGTCTGACAGCTAAATTCGGGACCCCACCTTACCTGGGAGAAGATAAATATCAGGGAGACACACTTTGAAAGAGGTGTAAACCTCATCCCCAGAAAAGCTCCTTTTTCTTCTACCACTTTGTCCACCTTTTGGACAAAGGATGCCACACTCCCAATAAGCTCAACTGGGAGATGCAGTTGGATGTTGCCATTTTACATTTCTATTCATCTTGGGAGAAAGTGTGGGAGAAAGCCCCTTGCAAAAGATTACTTAATTATAAAATGCACCGGATTAAAGGAGCATGTTCATGGACAGGATTTATTCTCCATGAAATAATTCAACATACAGAAGTTAAAAGGGGGGGGGATGACCCTATCACTTTGTAAGGAGTATTAATAAGCAAAGCATGCGCTCTAACGCTAAGCTACAATCACTTGGGCACCCTTGACATAAACCTAATGACCATCTGGGAAAAGAATGCCAGTCAAATGCAACTTTTATTTGATTCAGCAAGGCAGCTCTTATGTTCTCAGATATCATAAGCCACCACCTATGAGCAGTAGAGAGCCATACAAATGCTGCAAGTTTCCTATACACTCTTCCCATTTACATCCTTTTTGGTATAGAAAGCAGTTTTCTCCAACCTGGTGCATTCCAAAGGTTTTATATTAACATGCCAAACCCCCAACCTTGCTTAGCTAACAGCTGAAGCACTATCTTCTAACACAGGCATGTCAAACTTGCGACGTCACATGATGTCGCGTGACGTATTGCGACCTTTTCCCCATTGTTGGCAATAAGGTGGGCACAGTTTCGGTGTGATGCATCCGGCCCGCGGGCCAGCAGTTTGACATGCCTGCTCTAACACATCTGCAGAGTATCAGCTGACGTCGTCTTTCCCAGCCATTTATCGCCATCCCTTTTTTTCCTCTGTGAATATTCTCTAAAGCTCCCTAAAGGAAATCAACCCCGACTGTCCTTTGGAAGGACAGATACTGAAGCTGAAACTCAAATATTTTGGCCACAAAATGAGAAGAGAGGACTCATTGGAAACTCATTCCTGATGTTAGGAAAGACTGGAGGCAAAAGGAGACAGGGATGGCAGAGGATGAGATGATTAGATAGTATCATTGACTCAACGAACATGAATTTGGGCAAACTCCAGGACGGGGGCAGGGGGGGCAGGGGGGCTGGTGTGCTGCAGTACATGGGCCCACAAACAGTTGGACACGACTTAGCGACTGAACAACAACTCTACAGCAGGAAAAATCAAGGTTCAATACCATTGCTCTGTGCTGGTCCTCAGAGGAAATAACAGACACCAAAAGCACAGTTTAAATACCCAAGGTGACCAGGCGTGCAAAGAATCCCCTAACTAAGCCTCTGGGCTCTGGCTGGATTGCTTCCTCTTCCCCAACATCATGATAAGGATTCACAGGACAAGTGCTCACAAGGCAGGACAGCTTGTGTGGTATCAAGGGTCTCAGACGCTTGTCCTGTTTTCCATGATGCTTCTGAGAACAGCTGAAGTTCTGCTTTTCCTATGCGAGGGATTCCCTCTCCTCCTAATATGAACACTTCCACATGGGTTTTTTTCACTGCTCTCAAATCAGCCATCATCTCTATTCATAAGTGGGTACAATTTATCTCTAGCTCCTTACCAGCACCTCCCAAATCATAGCTGAAGGGAATTTGCAACATGGAAGTTGGGAAGAACTGGTGTAGACTCACTTCTCACAGGGTGTGTATGTGTGTATTATTCAGTCACTCTGGCCATGATCTTACACTTCCCCATCCCCACAGAGATCAGCTGCCACCGAGGTTTGCTAAGATGCTACTATTTCCCAGAAATTTAAAATATAGCAAAGGGACAGTGACTTTGGGGTTTGCAAGACCCACTGGCCATAATATCTAATTGGACTAGATGGGAAACCATCACACTATGAAATGAGAACATAGATGGGAGGCAGGGCATTGGCTGAATGTCTTTGGATTTTCCTGCTGTTAGCTGTATTAACAGGCTCATCTTTTTCCAGCATTCTGAGTGTGGCTGTAGCTGAAGACGTCAGGAAACTGGCTTCCAACAACTTCTGACTAGCTGGCAATTGAAATGAAATGCTCTTGAGGAACATGCCTGAAGGAAATGTACCTCTGAAAGGAGAGATGAGGGCTTGATTATACCTGAGTCACATTTTTAATAATCAACCTAATAAATACTTTTTAGACTACCATGTTGCACTTTTCTAAATTTTGCAATATAGTATTTCTTTCTCTCTCTCAAAAAAAAAAAAATCAGGATTAAAAATCTATTTTGGCCCAAGACGTATAGGAATGTTTGTGGAAACTCTATGAATTTTAATGAAAATTTTCACATCGTTTTGTGTTCTTAAGGTGCAAACTGATGTGGAAATTGGACTGAATGGATTTTGGCATGCAGTACCTGCAAAGCTGCCATAGCCAGGGAGCAAACAGCATCCCTGGACAAAATCTTTCTGCAGACTTGGAGAAATCCAGCATTGGTTACAGCACCCAAATAAATGAATGAAATGAAATTATCAGAGGCAGCTCACTGAATTTCTCATTATGGATTTGCTACTTATGTTCCATTTTCACAAGACTCTCCGTGTCCTCTAACGTTTAAAAACAGATGCAACTTCTCCGAGTTTCCTATTGAGCGGTACTAAGTTTACTTTATTCTCCAATGTGTAATTTTTTCAGGCATTGCTATCAAGACCAATGCACTTTTGCATAAATATTAAGAGAACCTCTAGGCCAGGGGTAGGGAACCTTGGCTCTTTTATGACTCATGGACTTCAACTCCCAGAATTCCTGAGCCAGCCATGCTGGCTCAGGAATTCTGGGAGTTGAACTCCACGAGTCATAAAAGAGCCAAGGTTGCCTACTCCTGCTCTAGGCCTAAGCTCAAGAAAAATGCTTGACCCTTGTCCAAGCAGTTGCGAAACGTGCTGTCCGGCCACATGTGAGCAATATCTCTTCCCCCCCCACTTTCTTTAAAAAAAAGCTTGGCGCAAAATCCAGAAGATTCGGGTTTGAAAACAGCCGTGAACGTGCAAACATACATATCATGTCACAGTTTCCTAGTTAGAAGCAAACTTCAGTTTGCCATTTTGAGTCAATCTCAATTCAAGCTAATGAACAAGCCATAGCATTGTAGCTGAAAGGATTCCCATACTATCCTGTGACTCTACAGCAGAAAAGCCAGGGGCCTATCAGTTGATTCCAGCTGAAGTCCACAGCCCAGGTGAGGAAGACGGAAGCGCTCCAATGCTAGGTGGGTTGGAAACCCACCTGGAGATGACCCAAAAACACAAAATTCTACTTCTTTTGACAGAATTTCATTCTATTTTATCTGAGATAGCCCTTTCTACCTCAGTGCCTGAAATCTAAAACAGGAAAAACAGCACTAGATCAAAAAAATAATAATAATGATGATGCTAGAATGAACACAACTAGGAGAACTAGTAACAGAAAGATCAAGAAACCAGTAAGACAGGGAAAAAAACCCTGAGAACATGAACAAATTAGAAGAAATCAGCATACAACATCTGAGCTAAATCACAACCCACGTTCTCAGGCCTGGGGCTTGAAAGGCTCATATATACATAATTTTTCAAGATTCAAAAGTTTTGCGTAAAACCAGGTAGGTTGTATCAGTACAATCAATAAACACAAGGCAATTTTCATTATATTACTCTGTGGGTGTTATCTGCAGCTTTTACAGTCTTTGAAGACTGACACCATTCTGGATATAAAATTATTGTATGTCTCCTGATTTTATTATTATCCCTTAGAAAGGGATAGAGTCGACCATGGCATGGATAACTAGTTGCTTAATAGGAGAAGATAAGCTGGAATCCAATTTCTGCTGATTTTTTTTTAATGCTTTATAGCAGTGGTGGCGAACCTATGGCACGCGTGCCAGAGGCGGCACTCAGAGCCCTCTCTGTGGGCACGCACGCCATGCCCCGGAGATGGCAACTGTCCCTCTTCAACCAGCCGCCCACTAACTCGCCGAGGTCCCACATGGCTGGATGCATCCCAGCACCCATGCACTCGGTGGCCTCTGTGTGCAGGGGCCAATGGTGTCAGGCAGCAGCCGCCCCGGCCCCTGCCTCACCTTGCCCTGTGACAATGGCACCCCCGCACTGCCTCGCCTTGCCTCGCCTCACCCCACAGGACGAGTCTCTTGCCCACCGCCCCACCTGTCAGAGACCCCCTGGATCTCCCCCAACCCTGCCCAGCCCCCACAGGCGTCCCTCCCTATGAGCAACATCGAGGTGATCACGCCCACCTTGGCCACACCCACCCAATCTGCCATGACCACCACAGCCATGCCCACCCAGTGGGCCACGCCCACCTGGCACCCGGCGATAAATAAGTGGGTTTTGGGTTGCAGTTTGGGCACTCGGTCTCTAAAAGTTTTGCCATCACTGCTTTATAGGCTATCTAACTCCCAAATAGCTTACACAGGGTAAAAACATGTAAATCAGAATAGCCAATAACACTACACGCAATACACTGAAACCAGCAGTATCACAATACAACATAAGTGGGATCAAAACCCCACCTATTCCAGTAATGACGAAATTACAGGCTATGAAGTTTCTCAACCTTGACCACTTTAGGATAAGTGGACTTCAATTCCCAGAATTCCACAGCCAGCATGGGGAGCTGAGGTTCATACTATTAAAGTAGCCAAAGTTGAGAAACACTGTTCTAAAACACCTTTGAAGCACCCTTTCCTTCTTCTATTTGGAGGATGGCCAATTTTTTAGTCACAGGGAACTGAAAATACTAAATGGGGAAATTATGCAAAATGCAGGGCTAATATTTTCCACATTAAGCGAGGGCTTATTTTTTGTTATTTTGTTTCATTTTTAATGGTCTCAGGCCTATTTTAGGGCATACACCTTTCCTGCGTTTTCTGACTTAACACGGCTGGAAAGTGCAGCACCACTTTTCAATAATCACACTGCTAAAAACTGGCAAGGAGCCTTGGGTCTACAGACTATTCACTCCTGATCTACTGGAAGAGATGTCTTTCTTTGACAACAATTAGGAAGGGGAAAAGGGCTTTAGCAAGAGGCAGGACTAAGATGATTATGAGTTATCTTGGAGACTAAACAGAGTCTGCCATGGTTGATGCTTTGACGGGGCATCAGCTGAGAATGACAAAGCTGCTGAGTGGACTGGAAAGTTGGAAAAAAAAACTCCAGAAGGCAGCATTCTGTTAGGTTCCAAGAAAATTACATGGATTCAATCATCAGGATTTGAACATTATTCAAAGATGCCTTTATCTAGGAAAGAAAGAACAAGGGGGGAGCTGGAAAAACTAGGGCTACCCATGTCCAAGCTGAGCTGCCACAAAAATAAAACAGTGCAATCTTATATCAGGCCTGGTTTAGTTAAAGATATCAAATAAATAATGTTTATTTTACCAAATGTACTACTATCAGAGATGCAAGTAACAATTTTGGTTTGGTTTGGTTCCATCATCTTTCACGTACCTTCAGAGGAGCACAGAGGATTATAGTGTTGGCCCCTGATACGCTAACTGTCACATCTCCAGGGATAGCAATTGGATCTGGACTTACGGACAGACTCTTAATTACTGCAGGTTCCGATGGAGGACCACAGTTCTCCCATGCAAAGTTTTGGACCTAAATGTGTAAAGAAAGACCAGATTTAAAATTGTGCATGAAGTTTGACAGAAAGACCTTCCCCAATCTGGTTGGGGAACACTGGCTAAATTGGCACCGCAGCCCAAATACATTTGGAACACCCCAGCATAAGGACAGCTATGTTATGTTTTCCTTAACAGGATAAATTATAGTTACAGAACTTGGAATGTATAATTTAATTAAGGAAAAAAGGGGAGTGGTTGAACTATCCCTTTGTGCCTATCTAACACTTCCTATCCTATTTTCAATTGATCAGATTTCCTTTCTTTTGTTTAACAAGATCCGTACTTAGTAATAAATCTGCATTTTCTAGACTTTCTGTGAAGAGTCCCATGATCCACTGCACTTTTAAACCCAGAATGCTACTTTCTAAGATATCTAGACTAAGCTTCTCCCAAACATATAGTTTTCTGTGCATTTTTCATATGGAAGACCAGGGCTTTTTTTCTCATAGAACGCTCAGAACGGAGTTCCGGCACCTTTTTTGGATGGAACCTTGTAGGGTAGGCAAGGCGGGTTGTATGACGTGTATGAGTTCCAGCACCTTTTTTTTTTTTTTTTAGAAAAAAAGCACTGTGGAAGACCATTAGACCGTGGGAAACTCTCTGTTTGCAGCTAGAAGAGGTACAAAAAAGATTTATGACTTCAGTTAATCTTATAGTTCCATTTGGTTCCTGCACAAAACTTATTTACATAGGTGGCCTTCAAAAGGCAACAGCCAGAAAACATTTTTGTTCTTATTGTTTTCTCTGAGTACCAAAGTACAAGCGAGGCTACAGCAAAACTTGAAAAGAGCAAAAGCTTTGTGGACAGGCAGGAGAATTAGAACAGTCTTCCCATCCAAAGTGCCCTCCGGATGTACAGGTAATCCTGGACTTACAACCACAATTGAGCCCAAAATTTCTGTTGCTAAGTGAAACATTTGTTAAGTGAGTTCTGCCCCATTTTATGACCTTTCTTGCCATACTGCAACTGATAAGTTAGTAACCTGGTTGTTAAGTGAATCTGGCTTCCCCATTGACTCTGCTTGTCAGAAGGTCACAAAAGCTGACCTTGGGACACAGCAACAGTCCTAAGTATGAACCAGTTGCCAAGCATCTGAATTTTGATCAGGGGATGCTGCAAAGGTCGTAACTGTGAAAAACGGTCATAAACACTTTTTTCAGTGTCGTTATAACTTTGAATGGTCACTCCACGGACTGTTGTAAGTGGAGGACTACCTGTATTGAGACTGCAATTCTCCAGGAGCCTGGTCACCACTTCTGAAGAACCCTAGATTGGACAAAGCAAAGCTAGAATGTTTCTGTGGCCTTTTGCTTTGCAATATCATCCTGTGGTGCTCTTGGGATTGCAGTTATTCTATTACCTGCTGGAGAATTTTCCTCAATGGCCCCAGTCACTGGACACTACATATTCCTATATTTCCTTATGGAAATGCAGGGCTCAGCCCACCCAGCCCTTCAGGATTGGCAAGTACTTTTAATTCTTAATGAGAAGTGCTTTCTGTGTAGGAGTTTTCTATTGTTTGGAGAAACCTTTCAAGAGACTGGTTAGACAGGATGACTCCCCGTAGCTCCAATTGGTAAAATCTCAGTTGAAAGCCACTTTTAACACAGAAGCAAAGCACTGCAATCTATAACAATCTCATCACAGAGTCCTTCAGGTCTGCACACGTTAGACATAACAGTAGTGACACACCCCATAACCTTCATGGAGATCACTGTGTCCCTTGCTCAGCAAGTGCTATTGGGTAAATCTAAATTTACACAGATCTTTAAAAAAAAAGACAAGCATCCTTGAGAATTAGGATTGACAGTTTAATCATTAAGCTTATTTAACAAACACGGCTTTCTGGTGCAAGGACATTTTCTTAAAAGTGTTGCAAAATCTCTGCTTCATTTGGTCAAGTGTAATCTCCAGTACTCTGGTAATAGGATATTTATAATGTACCAATAAATATTTGTAGTTCAGGGTTGAAATGAGGGGTCCTTGATACTCACAGAGTTTGGTTGTTTTCTTGCAGATGTTGTTTTTACCCAAACTAGATAACATCATCAGTGCTAGTAAAGAGTGGGATTTGCTCTCAGTTTATATTCTAGCACAGGGGTGTCAAACTCAATTTCATCGAGGGCCGCATCAGCATTGCGGTTGCCCTCAGGGGGCCAGGTGGGTACGGCCTACTGGGTGGGCATGGATGGAGTGGCCTACTGGGTGGGTGCGGCCAGCGCTACCTCATTCGCATCAAGGGTGCCTGTGGGGGCCTGGGCAGGAGTGGGACAGATCTGAGAGTCTCTGGCAGAAAGGGATGGGACCAGGGCAGAGCCCACCAAGCCGGATATGTGAAGTAGGCGAGGGCCATTTGCTGCCCACTTCCAGGCGATGGTGCATTTCTTCATTCCTCACAAAGGGTGACACCTCTCCAGCATGCACCCAGGGGTGGGGCCGACACGGCAGGGGCTGGTTCCTCGCTGGTTCCAGATGGCCTTATGGAGCTAAGACTGAATGCATTTCAGCATAGATGGCCACCACAAAATTGTACATTGGCTCCCGGCCAGCCTGGGCCAGGGCCAAAGCAGCGGAGGCCGTTCCCTCACTGTTTCCAGGATGGCTTTGCGGGCCACATGAAACCACTTCGTGGGCCGCATCCGGCCCCCGGGCCTTGTGTTTGACATGTCTGTTCTAGCAGCTTCAAGACCACTGACACTGACAAGGCAAACCACTAGAATATAAACTGAGAGCAAACGCCACCCCTTACTAGCACTGATGATGTTACCTAGTTTGGGTAATGAAATGTCTGCATAAAAACAACCTAGCTCAGAGAGCAGGAAGAGCCCCTTATTTAGAATATAATGTTTTATAAGTAACATTTAAGATAATTTTGAAAACAATCTTATTAGATTCCAATGTAAGAATCAGTTTTGTAAAAAGAGGCATTTAGGCCCATGCACTGATCGATCAATCAATCACTCCTCAAAAAGCCGAACTGCATATCCAAAAAGAATGTCTTATGTATCCCACATCCTAGAACTGTACCAGGAATTCACAATGCATATGGGAAATTATGTCTGCATGCTATGTTGCGCACTAAGTTTTGTAAATGACAATAGTTGTTCATCTGAAATAAGATAGACAGACAGACAATCTTTATTGTCATTTTTTTACTGTTGGCACAATGGCACACATTAAAAATGAAATTTAGTTGCCCAGTTGCTCTCTCTGCAGAACCAACTGGCAGTCATTTCTAGAAAACAGGAATATCACTTTGTTCACACACAGGCATGTTTTCCGACTGCTGTTTTTTTAATATTTAATATTTTCCCCTTTATCCTGCTCTGAGTGCTCCTGTCTGTTTTGGCTGGTGTGGTTTACTTCCTTACAAGTTATTTCCAGAACTCTAATGGCTACTTCACACAGGAATAACCCTGAATTTCATCAATCATTACCGTGATCTTTATCAGTAATATTATAATAAGGATAATAATATTTGTATTATAAATAGAAGGCTGCCAGTTTGAAATCTGGTAAACATTTCTATTACTTTTTTTTTTGCTTTCCATAATTTAATTATGGAACTTTTTTCCTGAGTTTTGACCCAGCAACCTTCTATTCTCAAGGCATGTTATAATCACTGCACCATTGTAATGTTACTCACAAAAATAGCTATAAAACCAACACATCAGTAGGAAAGGCATTATTTTAAAATTTGATACAGGTGCATTTTGAACTCTAACACTGTGTGTGTGTGTGTTTGTGTGTGTGTGTGTCCTCCACACAATATTATAGCCCAACGTTTCTTTTCAAAAGGTAACTGGATTTTCTTAGTTTTTTCCTTGAAAACGTTTTACTTGTCATCCAAGAACCTTCTTCAGTTCTTCAGAAACATTTTCAAGGAAAAAACTACAAGTCCAGTTGCCTTTTAAAAAGCACCTTTGGGACAACCATGGCCTCGATGGTTGAGAATCTCCATAGACACTCTCCCCTCCCATAAGACTCATCCCTATCAAGGGAAGCAATTGGGAATTTTCCTGGCACAAAAATGAGGAAGGACAACAGCAGCTGGGCCATTGTCCAATGGGAGGACGTGGTAGCAATTGCTAATAGACAAAGTGTACTTCACAGACAGAATGTCCCGTAACTCCACAGAGGCCCAAGTACAATTAGGTGAAACATGGAAAGCTGCTGGTAGTGAATGTACACGACCCTGGGATGAATGACTTAATATTGTAATTCAGTTTACAGCAGCATCTTATGTTCCACATGGAGTCAATGTCACAAACACTTACTTCCAACAAGTTCATTGAATTACTTTGGAGTGTCCCTTCCCTCAAGGCCAGCAAGCAGTCAATTGGATATTTAATAGCCATAGCCTTTTTTAAAAACAATAAATACATGCCTATTGTACTAGTTATTTTAAGTATTGCTTATTTTTTATGTTCATTTTATTTCCCTATGTTCAGTATTTAATGGCTTGTAGCCTACCCTGAGATCCTTAGGATAGTGGCCAGGTTAAATATATTTACATTGGTAACTATTTATCTTGCTCTTAATTTAAATGAAAGAGGATGAATAGGAACTCAGGAAACCACAATTCCAAATAGTTTGCAAGGTTGCAGTGGTGTGAAAAAACACTATTCAAATTTGCATTCAAGTACAAAGCCTTGAGCAAGATACTATAGTATATACTATCATAGGGGGTGCCTAATATTATAATTACTAACCTACTGCTGTTTGCTCTGTTCAAATCCATATGACCAAGTATACTATCAGAAGTTGTTTCCTTAGCCTGGTTCTAAATACACAATTACACAGAAATCATTTCTCTTCCCATTAAGATGAGACCTTGGGAGCTCCACTAATTACGCTTGGAGTATATTCCTATTAATTTCTAACAAAGATTTATATTAGTAGCAGCGATGAGCAGGGTTTTAACACACCTAAAATTCACATTCCATTGGTGGCAAGAATTCACTACAACATCACATGCATAGTCATTAGGACTGCCTGCAAAAACATAACATTAAATTTCTGCTAACAACAACAAAAAGTAATCAGATGTGGGTTCCTGATAATAATAGCCTTTGTTTGAAACCCATTGTTATTTGTTTTCCAACTACATTGACAAGCCAACATGTTACCAGCTACTCTTGTGGTATTAAATCCTTCAGCATTACCCCAGATTTCCAAAATGCGTGTATAGAATTACCCCACAGATTACCCCCCACCGACCTGTACGCTCTCACAGAGTGGGTCTCCTCAGGGTACCGTCGGCCAGACAGTGCCGGCTGGCGACCCCAAGGGGGAGGGCCTTCTCTGTGGGAGCTCCCACCCTCTGGAACGAACTGCCCCCAGAGATCAGGGTGATTCCTGATCTCCCTTCCTTCCGCCGCGCCCTCAAGACGTG